ATTTTGTGTAATCGTTCTGGATAAGAAAGAAATAAACAAAACTGCCAGAAAACCACAGGGTCAGCACTACAGTTAGTTTTTGTTTGTTCTCTTCTCCCACGTGGACTGATAATGAGCCTTTCTGCCTCATTTGGTTATATGGTTGATAGATAAATGTGGGAGTGTATGTATGTATCTACTATCCTTGCTTGAACAGACTTATATTTATTTTTTGTACTATTTTATGGCCTTTTTTTTGTTTTGTTTTTACTGAACTTAAGGAGTAAATGCTCTACTCAGAGCAACCGAGCGGCTCCTAGGGCATGGCTGGGCTGCAGCATTCCTCTCCCTCCTTAATAAAAAGCTGTCACTGCCTGGGAATATTCGCACACATTCTCATTTCAGAGGCTGTGCGTGGTGGTGGTGGGAGCTTTCTCTTCTGAACTGGACCGGAGTTTGGTAGCTGGGCCCCTTGGGTGTTCTGCTATTTCTGTCCGCTTGTGAAGCGCTGATGACACTTGGCTCTTTTGCAGGGCTGTCGTGAACACAGCAGGCTTGATTTGGCACTGAGAAAATGCAGAGAAGCCTCTTTGAGATTCCTGGTAGCAGTGTTGTTGTGGCAGCTTCCAAAATTGCCAAACCCAATTCAAATTGCTGCTGGTCTATGACATGATGGTAAAATGTGTGCAGCTGGTGCCTGCATCACGTGTAAAAGACACATCATGAACACGTTAAGGGTAAAGGATGGACTGTGAGAAATGACAGGGGTTAATAATGCTCTGATGCTAAGGGTTTGTACCGCTGGGGTGGCTTGGCTCCTCCTAATGTGTTCTGCGTGTGGTCTTGCTCTTCAGAAGCCTTGGTGAGGAGGCAGGAATTGCTGCTTTGTGTAGGATCAGTGCTGCTTCTAGTGGGCACCTGGACAGGTCCTAACTGTTTCCGAGAAAGCTGTAAGAAAGTAGACAGGGATCCAGGTGTGATGTGTATAGAGGGAATGGTTTTTCTTTACTGCTGCTCAGCCAGGAGAGGGCTTGTGTCCTTGAGCACAAGCTTGTGAAATGCTATTTTTTTTTAATACACATGAATGGAAACATCTTGCATGAATGCAGTTTTCCTGCACACATTTTTCTTGCATTTGTGCACACACACTAAACCCTCTGTTTCACAGAACAGAAAATGGGTAGGTTTTGTGGCAATTTTTTGTTTCTGAAGGATCTTTCTGGATTACTGGCACTGTCACAGTGCGCCACCAAGTAACAGCAGCTGGTTTGCAGAAGTGACTAGCAATGGGAAGAGGCTCAGTCTGGGAGATGGCTTGAAAAATCCTCTGAACGGCCTCATTCTTGGAAAACATTGAGTAGCTGGGCTCCCAAAAAGCAGGCTAGCATGATGCTGAAGTGAAATGGCATGTGGTGTCTGGAAACCTTGGAAGCAGGTGGGAGGTGAGAAGTGAACATTCACTTCCAAATGCGTGGAAGTTCACGTCCCTAATGTTTCTCCTTTCAGCTGCATTGTGTCTGTTTTTTTAGGGAAGGTAAAGCAGGTGGACTGCAGAGAGAGAGCTGTGTCTTTGTGATTTCAAGGGATCTGGGAATCCGTGTCACTTTGGGTCCTTCCTTATTTCTGCATAGCACCTCTACTCCTAGCCCCTCTTACGTTAGGTGATAAAGCACTTGTTTTCAGGAGAAGCTCCTGGAGCTCGTGAAAGCGAATCTTTTTGAGCGTTTAAAACCCTTTTTGTGACTCCTGCCAGGGACTGTTCTGCAGGGAGCTGTTCCCTGACCTTTCAGCCAGCGGTTCGGCATTTCTCGGGGGGGAGCCCTGACAGCACATCGGACGAGTTTGTTGCTGAAAGGCCACGGCTGAAGGCTGTTATTTTCCAAGATGATGTGGCAGCTTCGCGGTCCTGCTTGCTCGATGGTTTCCCTGAGAGCATTTACTGGTTAAGCAATCTCCTGGTGCCATCTAGGATCCTTCTTCAGGTGCTGATCAGTGCTGGGAGCAAAGTGCAGTGGTTGTGCCTGTCTAAAGAGGGATATCGGTGCCTCTCCTGTTCTGGCTTGAACTTGCAGAAATGGGATAGCATCGGTGGGAGGAGTGGGCCGTGCTCTTTCCTGCTGGGTTGAAGAACTGGGTTTTAGTTTTGGGTCTGCCCCTGAGCCTTCTGGCTGACTCCAGTCAAGTCAGCTCTTCTCCCTGTGCTTTAACTTCCTCTATTTAACTGCGCAGTTTGCTCTGGAAAAATAGGCTGTGTGAGAGCTGCACATTAATAACTGCATCTGAGATCAGAGGAGTCACCGAGTGTGCGATAAATACGATCACCTTAAACTCCAGCGTAGGACATTATAATTATTAGTGTCACGTCTGCTCTCCAACCGAGATGTTCTTAAGCCCAATTTTATTTCAACCAACAAGCAGATCTCTTATTTCACTTTTACTCTTTCAAATGAGGAAAGTTGTTCACGCTTGATACTAAATTATCACTGGGTTAAAGAAACAATCATGAAACACAGGAGTGCGTTGAGTACAGCAATAGCAATGTTTTAATTACATGGAAATCAAAACTTATTTTCTCTTTGCTTGAATCTAATATAGGGGTTGGAGGTACGAAAGCTGGGAGTGTGACAAAACTGCTAAAGAGGGATAGCACCAGCCAGGGTGCTCAGATGCCTGGGTATTTTGACTTCCCAGTCTGCGACACAGAAGGGATGGATGTGCAGCAGGTTTCTTCCTTCCTTTTAAGTCATCGTCAAGCGCAGTGCTTACCAAGAAGCAGGTCTTGTTTAGGGTCTCTCTGTCAGTCCATCCGTTGAACCTCAGGTCTGCAGAGCTCCTCGTTCCTTTGGATGGCTTTGATTCCTTTCCAGCTCTTTTCCTCACTGCAGCGCTCTCGCCACTGCTGACTGGCGTGCTTCCCTGTGCCTCTGGTCCTCTGCTCGTCTCTTGAGTAAATCCTGCAGTACCACCAGGGCTGCTTAAGAGGCCCCCTCTCTGTGCTTTTCCCCCATTTGCAGTGTGAATGCTTTTGTAATTGCCGAAGAGATGGTGCCTTGAGGTTTATGACCCTGCCTGAGCCCTTCAGAATGAATTATGGCCTTTCATTTACTGCGAGGGTCACGTTCTCGCTGTAATTGCACCGAAGTGACTTTCCACTACATTTGGTACATGCATGCAGACATGCCATAATTTGTTCTGTAGGACGCAGCCTCCCCATAATTACAAGGAATATGTAAGCTCGCCTGCCTCGAACATGGCATTAGGGCTCTCCCTCTCTCATTAAATCAACATAAATCTCTTGACGTAGTCTTGTTGGTTTCTCCCTTCTGTTCTCCCCCAAGTAATGAACAGAAGTAGTTTGTTGGTGAAAGCTTGCTCTGTTTGGATAATTTTGTACGTTGGCCACACTGGTACAAGCTGGAGGTAAGCTCACATCGCTGCGTGACATTGCTCTGGTGTAACACAAACACAAGCACTGGAATTTTCTGGTGGGGGCCTTGTGTTTGATGTCTTGTCCCTCTGGCAGATCCTTTAATACAGAAAGCTGCTCTGGGTGCCTGTGGGATAATTGGGCATTGAGAAACACATAACCCTCCATCACAGGAGCCTGGAGTGTGCTGGATGGGGCGCACAGACCTTCCCGAGCCCGTCAGGCTGGGGGTTTGACCGCCTACAACACTGGATGGTCTTAATGCTCTCAGAAAATCTAGAGATTTCTTCTCCTCCCTCACCTTGAGTTGTTTAACAAAGAATGTTCCCTAAAAATGCTCCAAAGTGTGGGTACCACGTGGCCAGTTTCTAGCCTCCTTCTATATGGTTTTCAGGTTCCTTCCTTTGTGTCTATGGGGTATCTGCAGGCCAGGTTTGGTATCACCAGTCTATTTTTTTTTTTCCTTGAGATCTCTTAGACTTTTGATCTCAAGGGCATCTTTGATAAAGAATTTCACAAATTCTGCTCAGTTGTTGTCTGTAGGGGTGGGTTCAGCTGCGGTGTATGCTTAAAAAAGGGCAGCCCTTGCTTCCTTTGGACGAGATTAATTCTTGATACAATTCCCAATGATTTTTGGTATTTATACCTGCATTCGATTTTGGTCTGCATGGTGGCAGCTAGAGGCAGTAATTTGTCTTTGTATGTGGATAGAATTTGCTCACTAACTCCATGCTGTTAGGAAAACATTCCCTTTAAATCCTCTAAACTATTTGCACTAATCCTCATCAGAGTATTCTCTGTGTTTCTGTCATTTGCTTTTGTCCATTGCTGAATTAATCTTGTACCTAAGAACCTTAGAAGGGGGATGCTGGAACAGGAAAGGACAGGTGAGAAGATAGCAGATTACTGTTGGTTTTCCACTGGCTCCCCTTTCTCATTGCTGTGTTCACTTCCAGGCTTACCGAGTGGGCCTGACTGCAGGGCAAGGCTGAGTGCTGCTGGAACAGCAGCTTCCATCCGGGGTTCCTTTGGAAAGCAGCGTTTGCTGATCTGCCAGCTTTCATTTTTGTTTATTTGTGCCTACTGCGTTTGTCAGGGCACAGGAAAGGGTAGAGTCACGCAAAGAGCTGCCTGAGGACTTGTGGGGACTAAATCAGCGTGCTCAGACCAGATATGAAAGCACGTTTCGGATAGCAGTGCCCGAATCCAGGAGCAGCATGATCCCTTCCCACCCCTTTGACCTCCACTTCTAAATACGTCTGTTCAACCAGCAATCGTGACCCTCTCTGCTGAGGACTGACTCCGGCAGGGTCTAGAGGCTGCTTTCTAACAGGGCGATGATAAATACGGTGTCTGTAACACAGCGTTCCCCAGCTGCTGGGCTAAGTTGTTTGCTTCAGTGGGGTATTTGCATTGCTAACACCTTCCCTAGAGAGCGCGCGGTTTCACGCCTTCTCTTCCCTTTCTCTTTCAGGCCCAGGCCTGCCTGCTTCTCCAGAAGGTTCTGCCGCTTCGTGAGCTGAAGCTCTCCATGACCGAGGAGGAGTGGGAGGAATTGATCAGAGAGAGCATCAGCCAAGTGTCGGAGGTAACAAGCTTCAACGTGTTCAGTGTACGGGGAGCACCTGCGGGACGCTGCTTTCGCTGGAGTGGAGCGAGGCCTCAGAGCTGGAGTCTGAGGCTGTGCTCCCGTGGGGTTGTGCCTGCTCCCCCCCGGTCTGAGTAGTGTTCTATGGGATTACAACATTTTTGTAGCACTGCTATTTTTTTTGCAGAGCACAAGATGTGTTTTTGCAGAGCACAACAAGGTGCCTGGTACAGCTTAGTGCTTGTGTATGGAGCCAAGAGGCGGAGGGACAGAGATTTAGGGGATACACTCGGGTCAGTTTTAGGTTGCTTTAAAAATAAGCTTTGAAATGAAAGGTATTGTGAACACTGACTTAATTTCACAAAGTTTTATGGAAGTTCTGTATTTGAATAAACTTCAGGGCCAGATAGAGAGCTGAGGTTTGCTGGACTTCTGGCTCCTGGTGCATTGCAGACCTTCTGGACCAGACGCCTTTGCTGAAATTATTTACCAGGGAAACCTTTACATACATTGGCAAGCAGTGCATGTATAGAAAAAACAAACAGTGATACAGAAATTGCAGGGCTCCTGATGCAGTGGCAGGCGTGGATTGTACCTGAAGACAGCTTCTGGGTGCAGCTGTTCTGTAGGAGGTGATTTGTGAGGGAGGAGATTGAAGGATGCCATCCAATTAGCTGCTTGGGGATTGACGGGGGGAACCAAACAGCCAAATTAATGTTATGGTGTGGTGACTAAACGCCATGAGATGGGACATTCCAGTCCTGGTGTTCACATGTAACTGTAGGATTGGCCTCTTCCTAAGGGTAGCTTTCATTCCTGTTTCCTTAAATGCTGGTTACCTGGTGATTTAGGGCATTCCAGCTTACCATAGTGGAACAGAACAATTAGCCTTGTTTTCTTTTGAGGAGGGACAAATCTAAGCAAGTTTAAATCAAGGAATTCAGAGGCGGTGTTTACAATACTTGATGAAGCAGGTAATCCTGGGCTTCATTAAATGCTTGTATTTAATGGTGACATCAGGAATCCAATGGGTGGAGTTAGCTATGGTTTTATTTTCCAGCTACACAAAACATGCCACTCCTCCCAGCTTGGTCACCTCCATGTTTCTCTGCAGCAGCTAAACGCCTGCAGGACTTCAGTGATTCACTGGGAAACCACAAACGTTTACGATGCCTTTATGCTATCCTCGGCAGGGAAAGTTTAGCATCTTGCAACCCCTCCAATATTTTAATGAGCTTTGCTACCAAAGCTTCCTCAGCGCCTCTCATTTCTGTGGCCATTTGTGTTTAAAGAAAAATTCCTGGGAAATAGTGTCAGTTTGTTTGGGCTGTGTGAGGTGTACCCTGTGGGCAGCAGCCTCCTACACTGTTAGCTGCCAGCGGCACACGGGTGCTACTTCTCTTTTTGGCTGTTCTCAAAAAGCTCTGACATAACATTTTTCCATTCCAATTCACTCTGTAGGTGGATGTATATGCATTTTTTCCCTCCCTTCCTCCTGCTCCGCTTTTGCAGCAGCACAGTGCTGGTATGGCTCCTTGGAGTTGGATCGGCTGCTCCTCTTTAAATGTTGCTGCAATTTGTAGGGATCAAAGACCTTATATTCCATACAACAGCTGTAACTCACGGCCAAAGGCTGACGCTTGTGCTGTAAAACTTTCTAGAGCTGCAGAAGGTATTCTGTGTCTTCTTGCACATTTTCTCTGAAATGCACATCTGAGCAACAGCTGTAAAAACATGCAGCAGCTTTCTTGTGTAGTAGAACAATGTTCATATCGTGACCGATCTCTTTTGGAGATAATAAAAATCCCACGTAGAAGTCACAGTGAAATCTGGAGGCTGGAAATTGGGCAATTTTGCATCTGTAGAAAAGATACATTTGTCAAAGGGAATAATCCACCATTAAAGTAACTTGCTGAGTTTATTAGCTCTGAATTTCCGGGTGGAAATTGTGTGCTTGTCTGAAGGAGGAGCTGCAGGCCAGGTGGTAGTTACAGGCTTGGTGCTGAAATTATGGGGTGAGATTGCTTGGAGTATGTAATTGCTGTTAGTAAGAGCTTGGGCCAAACAACACCATTGCTGTCCCCAAAGTCCGTCCATGCCTCTGCTTATCTAGAGGGTAGGGAGGGCATTTGCAGAGCTGCAGCTGTCTCCTGAAGCTCTGTCTTGTTTCAGTGGGTCAGCCCCAATTTCTGAGGGGATGTGTACACAGGTAGGTGTTGGTGTGGGGGCGCTTACCCACGAGAACCTGACTGAGGGCAGCAATTCACAATGCTCTGGAAATCCTAAATGATGAAATTTTATTGTCCTACCTCTAGCTAAAAGATCTGCATTTGCTGTCATTGGCCTTTCCTGCCACCATATTTCACAAAGAGATCATTTAAGAAGAAAAAATGGTAATGCAGGATTTTATACCCCTCTGACACAGTGAGCCAGTGAAACAGCCTGGGAGGGCCAACGCTGCGACTGAGGAGACTGACGTGCACTTGTAAGTCAGGCAGTGGCACTGTCCTTAAGCTGCCCCCTGAAGGCTTTCCTCCTGCGCTCTGTGTCCTTGGTCAGGTTTGTAGCTCTGGGGCTGGTGGCTCTCGAAGTGCAGGATTGTCACTGCAGGTGTAAGGCTGTGTGAGAGGACAGGAGGCTACCTGCTGCTGTCTGCTTTCCGTCCTGTGTCGCCTCAGTGCGTGCACTGCATACCTACAGCCCACCCGGTGAGGAGCCTGGCAGGGTGTGGGGCAGTGATACGTGCTGGAACTGGGGAAGAAGCAACGTGAGAAGACTGCAGCCTTGGATATCATTGAATTATCTGTGCAAAAGCAAGAGGCAGATGAGGGAGAATCAACAGCCAGGAGCTTTAAATGAAGAGACAGCTTCCTGAAATAGCAGCTCCGGCTGCTGTGGGGCAATGGCTCTTGTGCTTACATAAGCTAATGTGACCTTATTTGTTCCCAAGATGCTTAAGCATGCTTATAAAACAGATATCACAGTCATGAGGGGTTCATGTCTGCCACCTCCTTGCTGTCAGCAAGGCAAATCTTGATATCCTTGCGGTTACTGTGGGGTTGACTCGTTCTTCGGAGAGCCCTACTTGCTGTTGGTGATCTTGGCTTTTCCTGCTGGGTCTTTTGGGTAGAAAATTTCATCCACAGGCCCTGGGACTGCCCCGTGAGCTGCTTTTATTGAACAGCAGGCCGTGGTGAGGAGCAGAGAGAGAGTTCTAGCACAGTTTTGGCCTCCTATGTCCTCAACAGGCTGCGTCACACCAAGCAGAGCCTTTGGACGGCTGTTCAAGTTTATTCTGATGTTGGGAGTCTAGACAGCTCGGTTGTGTTTACAGTACAAAGTGCTGTTGCCTCATGCTGTAAATGACAGAGCTCACCTGAGATGCTGTAGCCTCAGAGAGAGACTCCTTCCTCTTCGAGACAGCTTTGTTCTTTTATCAGCAGGTCTCAAAGCGCTTTACAAAGGGAATTCTAACCAGTGAGTTGCTGATGTAATGATGAAAGTATTCTGCAGAAATCCAAGAGCTGATGCGTTTAGCTGCAGTTGTTCTCCCTGTTTTGCAGATGACATGCTTGGCTGGGAGGCGAGCCAAGAATCGAGCTTTGATCTCCTGGGACATCCCAGAGACCCTCTCTCTGCTTGGACGATCTGACTGTTCCTTAACTTGGCTTCAGAAGAGCTTTGTGTTGGGCACCAGTCCCTGTCCCCGTGCTATCTCCAGGAGGAAGCTGGTGGCTGTGTGTTCAGGCTGCCCAGAGTCAGTGGCAGGACCAGGGAGACCCAAATTCCCCATATCCTGTAGGGAACAGTCACCGTTTTGGTGAGGGGTCTCTTTGCTAGGGATCACACATTGTCTTTTTGACTTCATCGTGCTGCTCTCAGTTTGGTCTTTCATCCCTGCTGGTTGTCATTGTGGGCACGTTTTGGTGTTTGTCCCCTTGTTAGGTGTATTTCTGTTTTCTCTCTGATCGGTTATAAAATCGCTGTCTTGTCTTTAGAGTGGTCTTGAAGCCATGCCAATTTTTAGTAACTCAGTGACAGATTTGGGGCAGGAAGCTCCGGGATCTGAATACATAATTTCATTACCTTTTTGTGTCATCCCTTTCCCAGGGACTGGCTTGCCCTCCTGAACCAAGGTGCTTCGTGTAACTCCCAACTTCAGCTGAAACTCCCAGTTACAACATGAAAGTCAGAGGGAAGTGGAAAAGGATTTGAGGAGTATGCCACAAAAAGCGTATTTTCGTGGCTGGGCAACTTCAAAACAAAACAGCTGTCAGAAAAACTGTTGGTGAAGCTGCTTTCTCTGGCTTGTACGCAGCAGTTTCCTGAGGGTTTCCTTTGTCTGACTTGTGCAGTAAGTACGCGATAGGAAGGGCCCAACTTCACGGTTTTCTTTTTTCTTTCACTTGTTTTGTCAGTGTTGTCTAAAGGACAGGAAGAGCAGAGCGCAGAGCGTTCAGGTTGGTCGGTTGGTCCCCAAGTGCAATCAGGGCATCCTGGGGTGTAAAAACACTCACAGCACCCAGTGCCCAGCTTCAGGGCTGGACCAAAGCTGGTTTTCTGTAGAAAGGAGAGAGTGTAGACAGGCAGGGGATTACATGGCCCGGGCGAGGAGTGGTATAGATAAAACTCTTTTCTTTTTTTTATTCATAGATAAATGTCCTCTTTTGTAGGACTCATAGTTTGAAAGTTACTCTATACTCTCTGAAGACTTCCATCGTAGGGCATTAGAGGGTTTTGTCGGTGTCGTGTGGTTCAGCAAGGGATTTAAAGTCAGTAGCTGGAGCCACTCGGCACGTGAGGAAGGAGAGAGGGTTACACTACACAGCCTCCTGCCCTTCATTTCTGAAGGGCATCACATTTGATTACTGGTGTCTTCATTTGTATGGAGATAAATTATTAACAGTGACTTCATCAAATCTCTAAGAAAGCCATTCTTCTTTCTTTTTTTCTTGAAGATCGTCTGAACTTTTATCTGTCCATCCTTATAAATTCTTAATTCATTGCCCTTTCTCAGCCTCTCAGCTTGTAAAATGAGGCCAGTCGTGATTTAACTGATATCTTTGACGTGCTTTCAGAGTACTGGATGTCTCTGCGGAGAATTCATTCCCTCTGTTCCCTCCGCTGTCCCGTATGGTTTTTCCCTGCTCCATTCACATGCGGTCTATGGAGAAAATGATCAGATCTTTACACTTGGGAAAGCCCTGGCATTTTCTGTAAGAATGTCATCTTGATTTCTGGGCTCCTCCCTCTAATAACAGCCAAAATAAACATTGCAGAAAAGGACCTTTAATTACACCCTTCAGCATGTGGGTCTGCTTAGTCCCCTACTCTCTCTGTCTACACTTTCAGTCTTCAGAAACTTCAGTGAGAGGGAACGAAGGGAGGAGGGATTGTCCATGCTTTTTTTCCTCTTTTAGTGCTCTCGGCAGCAGCACTTCAAGTGGGTGGTGTGAGGACCCCTCCCTGTGTGGATGTGCTCGTGTAAACTGTGTGCATTGGTGTGAAAAGTAGATCTTGCTCTGTGGATGGATGGAAAGCCCACTCTTCCCTCCTCCCCGGCTCATCTTCCATTATTTAGCCCTAAGTTTGAGCATGTTCAATGAACATGGTCACGAAGGAAGTGTTTGGAGATGGCTCGCCTGGGTTTTAAGAAGTTCCTGGCTGATTCCTGGCTCTGCAATCGTCTGTGTGGGTCAGTGCTGTGCTCAGCCTCCTGAGCCTCTGCAAAACAGTGGGAATAAGGCTGGCATGCCCCTCAGGAGCAAGGGGAGGGTAATTACAGATGAGACAAGGGTGCTTGCACCACATAATGACAGGAGCTACGAGCGTGCCAAATGCTAAAATCCTCCATTTGCTTTTCAGTTTGTTATTAGCTCGGTTTGTTATTGCTCTGAACAGCACAGGAGGACTGTTCCCCTCCCACACCTCTCAGCTCACCTGCCTGTTGACACGGGAGATCTTGTGCTTCGGCTCAGGTAATGGGCACGTACTTGTAGGGCCCCAAACCCGCTTACGGGGGCCCTCAGAGTGTGGCTCCACCACGGGGAGCCGAGCCACAGCAGCAGCAAAACGTCAGGTCGTGTCTGCTCAGGAACCTCGTGAGCAGCACGGAGCAAAGAGCAAAGCTTCAGCTTTCAGAGCCAGCGTGGAAGCAGTCAGCAAAGCGAGCTCAGGCTTCTTGAGCTCTATCTGAGTGTGACCACGGACGTTCAGCGGGGCGGAAACTTGGCTGAGCTGTTTGCTGCTGGAGAACAGAGCTCAGGGCCACAGCCCCGGGCTGTGCCAGGGGGTGCAAGGCCGTGCGGGGCGGGTGGAGGTGTGTGTTTTGCAGGAGGCTCTTGGCACTGCGTTCGGCCGTGAAGCTGCACATTTATCCGTCAGCATCAGGTCTGTTTGGGGGAGGAGGGGGAAGGATGGAGATAGCACGGCGGGTGGAAAGAATGCAGGTTGGCCGGGCTTCACCGGCTCACGGAGCGCGCAGATCTGTCAGGCTGAGCCCACGGAGGGGAAGGGCTGTTTGTTTTGAACAATGGAGCAGGCTGAAGGACGTGCTGGGAATGCATAAACGTTACACGGTGCTCACATCCAGCGGGATGTGCTCTGCTCTCGGTGGCAGGGTGCTCATGCAGATGCCGAGGTACTGCTGTGCCTTGTAAGTCGGGGCTGAGCGTGTCCCCACCGCGGTACCTGTGAACGGGAAGAGGAGCAGGAGGCTGAGGTTGTGGGCAGCTGCGATTGGGGAGACTTCCAGAAACACGGCTTTGCTCCCTGAAACAGCTTAGTGCCATTTCCCTGCAGGGAGAGCGGGGCAGTGGCCGGGATGCTGACTGGCTCCAGATGCACACGCAGCACTTTCTGCTCTGTTGCAGCTTTTAGAGGGGTCCCGGGCTTAGGCTAAAATCCAGCCTGGAAATCTGAGGCATGGAGCTACGTGGTTAATGCCTCTTTCTAGCTGCCGTCTCCCTGTCCTACTTCTGTGAGTGAATTACTGCGGGTATTCACCTCCTGTGCACCAACAAACTTGTTTTACGCAGCCCTTGTGGAGGTGAAGTAATGCTGGGGACCGCAGTGAGAGGTGCAGTGAAGGTTGGATCCTGAAATAGCTGGGATAACAGGGCTTAGAAATAAAAGAAATACTGATGGATAGGTTGCTGAGGATGTGCTGTTCTTGTAGAAATCCTAGAAGCAGAGGACTCTGGATCCAGGAGTGCCATCCACCAGCCACAGCCAGAGGCCCCTGGAAGCAGCGTGTTTGGCACAGCGAGCCCCAACCTCTGCCAGCTGAATCCACGCAGGGCGAGGCAGGAACCGTGTTGCTGCATTGGCTTGCCACGAGTTGGGAGTTCCAGCTGTGAAAACTGCCTCCCTACTTTTTCCTTTTGGAAAGTGACCTGCCCAGATCTGCTGACAGCCGAGATGTGCAGGCACGATTACCTGTCACGGGTATTACGGAGCTGGAACTGGAACCGGGATTCCCTGAAATTGGGCCTGGCTGTTACTGAAGGAGCAGAGTAACAGAGGCAGAAATGGCAGCAAAAGAACAAGATCAGCAAGTGGTGAAGTGTGGCTCCTGAGTACAAGCCACGTGCTCCCTGCTCTTAGCGTTAGGTGATGGGGTTATGCCACTCCTAGTGCTTTTAGAGGGCTGGGGAAGGGAGAGTTGGATGCCTTTGCAAACAGCACATGGCAGAGAATCACAGAACAGGCAGGCTGACAAGCTTGGCTGGGTTTTCACTGGACCCTCCATCACCTACAGCAGAGCTGGAAGCAAAGCCACTGCTTTGTGCCTCAGTTCTGCTGTGTAAAATGGAGATACCTCGTGCAGGGCTTTTGCAATCTAACCAGTGTGAGAGGCTCTCCAAAGGATGCTGCAGATGACTGAAATGCTGCTTTTCTTTTTAAGGCACGTTTGCCATGTGTTGCAGTCTGCCATCTGTTACATAATGGTTTTCGCTTTATTTTTACTGCATTTTACATGTGCCCCAAGTGAAATTATTGTAGGCCCCTAAAACGCCTGACCCATGCACTCAGGGTGGCAGTGCTAGCTTCAGCTTCCAGATCACCGACTGAGGGACCCAAGTAATCTGCTTTGCAAACCCCCAGCCTACAGACAAGGTGGGTACTGCATGTAGCAAGAATTTAGGACAAATACTTGGGAAAGCTGCTTTTGAGGTTTGGACTCAGCGTGGAAGAGACTTGGGATTTCATTCCCTGGGAGCAGTCCCCAAGGCTTGCCAGCAGTCAGTTTCCTTTATTAACATCCTAACACAAACCCCAAACGCCGGGCTGTGTGCACTCCCTGCTATGGGGGGGTGGGAGCGAAGCACGGCGTGACAGCAGACAGCATCTCTGGTAGCAAGTAATGGGGAAGTTCTGCGTGGTGATGAGGTTGGGAAAATGGCACTGAGCTGAGCAGGAGCTGGGCTGGAGACTCTGCGGAGGCAGGGCTGTCTGAACCGTGCCAGATACAGAGGAGCTGGCATTTCTGTGCTCGTTGGAGTACATTTCTTTTATGCCCTTTGAAGCAGAAGGGAAGGGGAAAGGAGAGCAGTTGAGGAACAGCAACGCTTCTCTGCATCCAGCTTCCTTAAAGCAATACCTGGCAGTGCTGGACCAGAGAGAATTGTGCATTCTGCACTTCTTCACTATCTGCTGCTTTTTTGTTGCTCCTCTGGCTTCTCCATCCACCCCCCACCGTTTTCCTTGCTCCTTCCTGGTCTTTTGAGAGCTGTTTCAAAGCGATCCGTGTTAGTAGGGAGCTATTTGTTTGCAGAGCACCTAAATTGTACCGGATCGCCTCTGGCTGTTTGTGCGGGTGTAACCATGCTTCGGTTTCCAGACTCATGCAAAACACGTCCTTTAATTTCGATGTTTAGTCTCACTGCAGTGATGTCAGTAGCCCCGTGGTATCTCCCATCTCCAGCAGGGAAGCCGCGCTGCTTTTCCTTCTGCAGCTCTGCAGGAGTTCGGTCGGGCACCCAGACCACTCAGTGCACGTCCCAGTTTCCCAAGCACCTGACAACTGCTGTGGACTTGTAGCACCAACCCCTCGAGTGCTGTTCAGAGGTTTGTCTATTGACTTCAGCAGGGTGTGCTTCAAACCCTTCAGAATATCAGTGCTGTGAGAAGGGATGGCAGCAAGGACAGACAGCCAACCCTGCTCGATTTATATGCATCACTCATCTACAGTGAAAATGCAATTTATTTGGAACACCTTCTTAATTCTTTAGCATTTGTATATTAAAATGATGAAATTTTAGTTGACTTCACTGTGGCTCCTCCTCACAGTATGGTCCTGCTTCCTCTTGCTCCTGTCCTGAAGTGCTGACAGCCTGTGCTGATTTTCTCTCACTGTGACTTAGCAAAACAGAGACCTGAACCTAACCAGCCTCTCTGAAAGCTGCTTGAACCAGCAAGGACTGTTAGCCGACCACTATCTTCTTCTAACACTGCAAAGAAATGTTTTATGTGAATCAGTCTTCATTTCATAACTGATTTGCTGATCATTCCTGTTACTTACCGTGGTAGGTGCAATACCTGGAGTGTGCAGGGCCCGTTATGTCCTACATGTGATGGGGTTTTTTAGTCACACACCCCAATATTTGTTCCTTGTTTCACCTGAGAGACTTCTGAGCCATTGAATTGTGTGACCTTGCAGGTTAATGACATCTCTGGAGCAGGGTTGCAGCTCGTCTATCAGGAGGCAGTGATTGTCAGCGAGGTACTGATGGGCAGATGAAGTTGCCACTTCGATTCCAGCCAGCAAACCGTGGTGGCTTTCTGACGCAGAGCTCGTGTGTCCTGGTCAGGAGATAACTGTGTTTTTGTTATTTAAAAGAGGCACTCCCAGGGGTTGGAATCCTGCACAGACAGTACATAACTGGACTTGCAGGCCGCTATTCCTGCAGAGCATTATGTGGTCTCCCCTGGTTTTCTGCTCAGAGTGTTCCTTAGGCTCCTGCTGGCCATTGTTATTTGCTGTTGGGGGGTCACTGCTCAACAGCCTCGCTTTGGGGAATGAATTCCTCCCTCCTCTCAGTGTCTGCAAGGATTTTTACTTTATTTGCCTGCTTTATGCTGCCATAGCTGGAGAACCGTTTCCTTTAAGTCCTGCAAATGCCTTCCAGTGAAAGCTGCAGCTGCTCTAAGGGAGAGGAGGCACCTCGCAGCACACCCCCACCTCTGGACCACCGGGTACAGGTTTGGTGCGGCACCTCATCACCCGAGGGTGCTCTGACTGGGGCAAGCCTTGCCCGTTACCACTTTGTCCCACTCACACTCCAGGCAGAGGCAGCTTGGCCACGAGCACAGCCTCCTGCAGGGACAGGGGCTGCCCTGGGCACACCGCAGGCGATGGCACGCTTGTCCCTGCAAATCCAACTCATGTTAGCGTACCCGTACCAGCTGCGGGGCTTGCTGCGGTTGTGCATTCACACAGCAGTGCAGCAGGGAGGATAACGACCACGTAAGCAGGGCTGCGAGGACCAGCTGCAGGCAGAGGATCAGCACCCCTGAGCCCCTGGGTGGCCGCTCTGACCCAGCTGCCTTTCCATGGCTCTTCGCTGCGCTCCTCCACTTGTAAATAACTCTGGCTTTTATTTGACCTGTCTCAGGAGTGATTTTCCTCTAAGCCAGACCTTTCAGTGTCTCAGAAAGCCTGCAGCACATAAAGGTAACACAAAGAGATGAGATTTTCTCCATCCTTTTCAGCGGGTTTAAGCTTGATTGACAAGCCCTGTTCTAGTGCCGGCAACTGGGATTTCCCAGGCGAGTGTTAATGGGTTTTTACATTAGCGCCTTGCGTGCAAATCCCAGCTCCTGCAGCTGGGTTGCTGCTGTCCCTCAGGTGAGTCTGTTGTCTGCCACTCTTCTGGCCTTTCCATACAGGGTTATTGTCTTCTCTCTTTTTCTCCAGGAGCCAGCAACCTGTCGCCTGTTTTGCTTCAGCTTAGAGACGAGGGAGAGCAGCAGGGTGGTGCCTTTGTGATATGCTTGCTCTTATTTTGTCCGGCTGCTTTTTAATTAACCTGGGCTACAGCAGCTCCCACCTCATACCCTCCCGGGCGTTTGGTGGGCTGTGTTGTTCCAGAGTTGTTCTGGTGACAGGTTAACCCTGCAAACCCCTACCGATTTTCTGCTTTCCCTGAGAAGAGCGATTTTTTTCCCCATTTAACGTTCCCTCCTCTTCCATCTCTCCCTTTAATTTGCAGACTTTGAAAATGGTCGACGAGTTTAGGGTGAAGGCTGAGAAGGAGAAAGTTGCCAGGAGCTTGGAGCTGTTGAACTTCCTCCTCAAAACCGTGACGCAGCAGGTGAGAGCGTGACCCGATCCCGTGGGGCTTTGACTCCTTGACACACGGACTGCCGAAGGGCTGTACCACCAAGGGCTCTGTCAGCTCTCAGGCCTGGATTTTACCTTGTGACTGCTTCGTCACTACATCCCTTCCCTTGGAGGGAACGCCTGGCTGGATTTGAGTACAGAAAACCCCTCCAGTCTGAAGGAGAGATCCGTAGCTCTTGAGAGCTGATCTCCAAGAACTTTTGCTGAAGGATTTGTGCAGTGTTCCACAAACATCCGTGCCATCTCCTTTCTCATCGGGAGAAATGCAGCCTAGGGTACGGTGGGGGTGAGCTGGGTTTTGTCCCAGATGATCGCTCTCTCCTCTTCACTGAACCCCCGAGACTGATTACCAGAAACTGAGACTTACGCAGAAGCTTTGTGAGCTGGAATGGGGCATTGTTCAGCTCTAAAGAAAAACGGCATTTTTAAACATGAGGAGATTTTCTATAGGTGACAAAATAAGTTTCCAACATGGTTTTATTTATGAGAGCAAAATAACGCAAGCAGCATAATTGCTGAAGCCCAGTTTCCTACTGATAAGCTCACACCACAGCCCATTTCTTTGTGGAGACCTAATAGGAAAGTGGGTGGGGAGAGAGATTATTTCCGGGGTTCTTGGAGGTCCTGAACAGCCTCTGAGACACCCCTTTCTGTCTGGTTTTACTGAAAGTGTCCACTGGGTCACAGAAGCTGTTACAGGCAGTCAGAAGCAGCATGATTGAGTTCTTTAGAAACCAGACTGAAAACACTTCTGCTTTTCTTTAGGGTAGGTACATAGCACGTCGTCTTCGTCCCCCCTTTCCCAGTCACAGGGTGAAAAGGAAAAAGGACTAAAGGATCTTTCAGCCCCTTTCATGCCAGATAATTCTAGCTTAGACTCATGTTTGGCATGCTAGAGACCCAGTTTTCAAGCAAACCCTCTGTGTAGTGGTGTAACTCACCAGTTTTTGCCCCCAACTTGAAGCGTTGTTGTGGATGGGCTCAGGGCAGTGGCCTAGAGAAGCCAGGTGGCTCCTTCTGAGCTCACCCTGCACGTTGTCAGTGTGCACTTGCCTCTTGCAGAAGCTGCCCGTGGAGCTGATGGAGCTGGACAAAGTGCTGGTAGCTCTGAACCAGCAGGAAGGCATCGGGAAGTCAGCACGCCTCGACTCTCTCTACTGGAATGCCATGCGGTGGCTGAACCACACGTACGTAGGGCTGGCACCCGGGCTTCTCGGCTCGCCTGCAGGGCTGCCTGCCTGTCCTGCTTGGCTTCTTTGGCCTGGGGAAGCAGGAAGGGAAGGGAAATCAAGGCACTGAGCTCAGACTGGGGTTTGACTTAACTGGAGCTGCTGGGGTGGTGAGGGTGAAACGCTTCTTGTTTTGCTTGGTGCTAGGCTCATTGCTCAGGTGTGTGCATGGTTGGGATCGGGCCTTTTTTGGGAGAGGGTTGTGAGGCATGTCTGATATCTGATCTGCTCTTGCCAGCAGATGTAAGACAGTCGATTACCCAAGGACAGAGCACCTGCAGCTCTGAGCAGTGGCCTGGTGCGAGAGCCATTGCCAACGTTGCAGGGCATTTCTGGGCTGGGCTGAATCACTCAGCTCCTACCACATCAGCGTGGGCTGATCCTGCAGATGTGAGCCTGGAGGGAACGAGTAGCTGTCAGGGGAAGCGAGTGAATACCAGAGAGACCCTGCCCAGGGCCTTCAGCCCCCCCCAGTGATTTTTGGGCTCCTCGGTGCCTGGGTCCCCAGCCAGGTTGCCTTGCTTTGAAGGTTGGGAGCGTTCAGCCTTTGTGCTTCAATGCTCCCGTGCTAAATGGCACCTGGATTTGACTTTTACTCCTGGGGAAAAAGAAGGGCAGGATCTTTTTTTCCTTCCTGCCAGTAGCTTGCAATTGGGCTTTTTGTTTCCTCTTCCTTCTGGCAGCATTTAGCACTGTGCACAGCGCTGGGTGGCTCTGCTGATGGCTGGGAGTCGCAGCCCCAGCCTGTGGGTGGCCTGGTCTGAGGCATCTCAGCCCAGCAAGAGATTCTGGAGGAAATGCTTGCACGTGGCTCGCTGTGAGAGGGCTCACAGGCAGGGAGGAATTGCACAAGGCAGCTGAAACTGTTGCTGTGGCCCCTCCTGATGCCTCCAACAGCCTGCCAGGGCACGGTGGCCTCACCCAGCCCCGTGGCACAGCCCTGGTCCCGTCAGCAGTCCCACACAGCTCGCTTGGCACCGCGCTGCTGGGTCTGGCCCAGGGGCAAGGCTTGGGTTAGCAGCAAGGAGAGACTGCGAGGGGATGGCTGAGGGTTTAGTGGGCATGAAACACCGAGTTTTGTGTGCTGCCTGAGGAAGGGATGGGGTTTGAGGGTTCAGACTGCTGCCCCTGTTGGTGCCGTCGTGCTGTGAGACCCGGGGATCTTTGTGCAGGTGAGCAGGACCGGACCTGCAGCAGGTGTGGTTTGTCCCCAGCACCCTGGTGGAGGTGCTGAGAGGCAAACACTAACATCGTGTTCTCAGGATGTTTGTTTTTTCCACCCTGAACTGGCGCAGCACGAACAGCTCTCCAGAAGGGCTGTGGGTTTGCAGCCTGGTTCCTTTTCAGGTGCCTTTCTGGGGACTGAGCTGGTGCAGGGCAGTGACTGGGTTATACTGGGCTGCCTGGGTGAGGCTGGAAGGGTTTGGGGGGGGGTTCTCCGCTTCCTCCTGCTTCTGCCTGGTCGTGGCCTGCCTGGAGCATGCACCACGGTGCTTCCTGGCTGTAAACTGGGTTAGCGTTGATTTTTGGTGTTCTCTCTGCAGGAAGCCCAAGAAAGAGAAAGCAGCCAATAAACCCGTG